GATCGGCTGCCTCCTGCACGCCCCCTGCTGGGGATCGAACCAGAAACCCAGGCATGTGCCCTGACAAGGAATCAAACTGTGATCTCCTAGTTCATAGGTTGATGATCAATCACTGATCCACACTGGCCAGGCAGCCCTATATTTCTATCTGATGCATAGTCCATATTTGGGTTTTGCTATTTGGTCCAAATAATGACACTTAAGCATCTTTCCCTCCAATCCAGGGTGGTGTTTAGTGGCTGTGTTGCTCCTCAGCCCGCCTTTGAGACCAGGCATGGAGCGTTTGCTGTTACTGCGCCCCAGGCCCCTCCTTCTAGAATTATGGAGACTCAGCTACCACTGTCTAAGGTGCTTCTGCTTGGGCGTGATGAGGGCCAAGCACGGGGGGGGGGGGGGGGGGGGTAGAATAGTGGGGAGGGTGATGGGGAGTGGCACCATCAGCCTTTGGGGAGGCTGGGGCTGCAGGTGGGTTTGTGAACTCCACCTGCTACATCCAGGAGCCTCCAAGCTGAGCTCCTGCTCCCAGGTGAGCTGGACCACCTACTCTGTCCTCTGCTGAGCACAGCTGCAAGAAGCCGTGAGCAAACTGCTTCCGGGCTGAGCACTGAAGGGGAACCCGGGCATTTCAGAGAGAACACGCCCTGGACAGCAGAAGGCTGCCGTCCCAGGAGCAGCCCTTCCCCTAACCCGCCCTGCACCGGCGGGAAGAAATGGCCTCTCCTGCCAGGCCAGGCTGCAGGTCTTGCCAGCAGTGACGGTGGCTGCAGGGGGTGAGCAGGGCCATCTTCCAAGGCCCCATCTGAGGGACAGCAGGTTCCAGCTGCTTCTCAGAGGACAGACGTCCTCCTGGAGTCTGTGTGGTTTCTTTGTAGCCTTCCCTGAGGATGTGATTGGATTGATTTTAGGGAGAGAGAAACATGGAGCGGTTGTGTCCCGTACTCGCCCAAACCAGGATTGAATCCCAAACCCAGGCAGGTGTCCTGAGCAGGATTCGAACCCACACCCTCTCTGATGTACCGGAGCCACCGGCCAGGGCAGGGCTTCTTTATCATAATGTGTCTCGGCTTCAATGTGTAGCAGAACCCACATCAAGGTTTGCAGAGCTGTGCTTCTCCCACAGGTGAGTCTGTACAGTTGTGTGCTGCTGCAAAACCTGCCACCCACGCTGAGTGGTGTAAGCACAATGACTTGCACCTGCTCATGAGATATGGCTAGGGACTGAGCAGAGCTCAGCTGCGTTCCGCTGCAGGTTGGGCTGGCCTGGGCTGGAAGGTCCCAGAAGGCATCTCTCAGCACTGTCACTGGCAGTCACTGGGGTGTCACGCCACATGGTACCCTTTCGTTCAGGCTCTCTCTCCATCCTTCACCAGGACAGCCTGGACTTCCTGAGCCCGGGGCAGCTGGGAGCCAAGAGGGCAAAACCAAAAATCCAGGGCTGGCCTAAACCCATGTAGCAACACTTCTGCTGCATTCCATTGATCCAATGAAGTCACATGACCAGATTCAGCCATAGATGCTGCTTTTGTTGGGAGGAGGGGCATGCCCTCACAGGGATGAGCAAACTGTGGGTAGGCCTGCTGCTGGCAGACATCTCAGGAAGCAGAGGCCGGGAAGAAACCTAGAAGACAGACCCAAGCTGCTATAGGGTGTCTTTCCTCCCGTGACACCTGGGACCTATATGTTCCCTGGGGTCATTCCCCATAAAGTTGCTTTGTCCTTCCTCTTACACAGGAACACACGCCACCTGCATAGTCACGGAGAGCCTGTGGGAGACAGAAATTGATAAGGTGCCCCTCTGGGAAGGGAAACTGGGGGTGGCTAGCGAGCAAGGCTGAGGGGGAGATTTACTAAATACTTTATACGCTTTTGAATTTTGTAGCATGGACTTTTATCACTTGGTCAAAAATAGATAGTTTAGCCCTGCCCAGTTTGGCTCAGTGGATAGAGCGTCGGCCTACGGACTGAGAGGTTCCAGGTTTGATTCCAGTCAAGGGCACATGCCCGGGTTGTGGGCTCGATCCCCAATAAGGGGCGTGCAGGAGGCAGCCAATCAGTGATTCTCATTATTGATGTTTTTCTCTCTCTCTCCCTCTCCCTTCCTCTCTGAAATCAATAAAAAATATCTTATAAAATAGACAGTTTAGAATTGATCTAACCAAGGTCACTCAGTCCCAGGAGGCAGAGACAGGACTCAAACCCAGATCTACAACCCTGAGCCTGAGCTCATCCCCAGCGTCCGAGAGGTCACATGAGTAGCTTAAATCCAAGGGGAGACTCAGACAACTGCACCCGAGGCCCAGGAAAGGCAGCCTCGGGGGCTGCTGGGACTGGAGCACGGCGGCACGCCTCACAGAGACACCCTGAGCTAGTAGATGAACTTGGTCTCTGGGGCAATGGGGTCCGGGGTCCTTGTAAATGACCGTGGAGAGGTTACTCATCCTCTCGGAGCCTCGATTCCCTCATCAGGAAAATGGGGAGATAATCCCTGTCCTGTGGATTGGGTTGGCGGTGAGTTAGCAAACTCCCAAAGGTGAGGAGTCAGATGGCGGGAAGCCGGGGGCCTGCAGCCCGCTTGCTGAGTTAAGTGGCAGGCAGCTGGCTCTCTGTCCCCCTGGGAACACAAGGGTGAGATCAGCTCCTAAAGGGGGCGCTAGTGTTTGAGGTGGAACGCCTGCCTAGGGCAGCCCTCCTCGCTTCCTCATCTGTTTCCTCATCTGTAAAGCAGGCTGGGCAGCGTGCTCCTGGGCCCCTCCCAACCCCAGGGTTCCAGGATGCAGGGCCCTTCACCTGTGAGCAATGCTTCTGTGCCCAGCAGCCCCAGAGCAGGGCCCAGGGATGGCTCCAAGCTGGGCAGGGATGCCTGACACATCCATCTCCTCTGCCCCCTTCTCCCCACCTGCTCCCCCGTCCCACGGAGGCTGTGCAGCCTGTGTGCCTCGTCTGCATCTGCCTCGGGAAGGCTGGGAACTGAACATTCTTTTTTTTTTTTTTAATTTAATATATTTTATTGATTTTTTACAGAGAGGAAGAGAGAGTTAGAGACATCTATGAGAGAAGCATCGATCAGCTAGCTGCCTCTTGCGCACCCCCTACTGGGATGTGCCTGCAACCAAGGTACATGCCCTTGACCAGAATCGAACCTGGGACCCTTGAGTCTGCAGGCCGACGCTCTATCCACTGAGCCAAACCAGTTTTGGCAAACTGGAGATTCTTAAAGTTGCACCTGGCTCCACAACTCCCCCCCCCCCCCCCCCCCCCCCCCCCCCCCCGCAGCAGAAAATTCCAGCCAAAGCAATTTGCCAACCAGGCAGGAGGCTGCCTCCTGGGCAGAGGTGCAGGGCAGTTTGGCCCAGAGTTAGGTCCAGTCTCTCCAACACATGTGGGATCCTGACCTCCCCCCCCCCCCCCCCCCCCCCCCCCCCGCCAGTCCTATCTTTTCCTGAGTTCCCAGCCACCAGGGGGAGAGGTGCATCTGCCTAACCCTTCCCTCTTGCCCCTGCCCTGCCGGATCTCAGCCCTCCTCTCTGCACGGCCCCCTCTCCTTCAAGCCCAGGCTTCCTGCTCTGAGTGGCGATGGTGATGGTCTTGACTGGTCAGTAAGCAGCCTCCCTGTCCCTAGGGGGCCCTTCTCCTCTCCACAGCCCTGCAGGTGAGTGCTACTGTGTTCCTGTTTCACAAGTGCAAGACTGCCCGAGGCAGAATCCCAGCTCTACCTACCAGCTGGCCTGGGTCCTCAGGCAAGTGACCTCCCCTCTCTGTGCCTTGGTGTTCCCATCTGAGAAATGGACGAGTAACAGTTCTGATCCCACAGCAGAGCTCCGAGGGGGAATTCACTGATCTACGCAGAGGGCTGGGAACACTGCCCGCATGTGCTGGGCTCTTGGCTCTAGTCGTACTGAAGGAGTACGGAACCCTGGGAGAGCACAGAGCTGACCCAGATGGCTGGGAGAAGGCCGGGGGCAGGGGTGGGGCTGGAGAAGAGACGGTGGAGCTAGAGAGGGAGAGTAAGGGGAGAAGGGAGAACAGCCAGCTGACTGAGACTTAGGAGGGTGTTTAGAGCAATTTGGGGGAAGAGGCTGGGAGCAGCAGGATGCTAGAGTGTGTGAAATGAGAGATTGATTTTTAAAGATATATATATTTTATTGATTTTTTACAGAGAGGAAAGGAGAGAGATAGAGAGTTAGAAACATCGATGAGAGAGAAACATCGATGAGCTGCCTCGTACACTCCCCCTACTGGAGATGTACCCTCAACCAAGATACATGCACTTGACCAGAATCAAACCCGGGACCCTTCAGTCCGCAGGTTGACGCTCCATCCAGAGCCAAACGGGTTTTGGCGAGAGATTGATTTTTTATTTATTTATTTATTTTAAAAATATATATTTTATTAATTTTTACAGAGAGGAAGGGAGAGGGATAGAGAGTTAGAAACTATCGATGAGAGAGAAACATCGACCAGCTGCCTCTTGTACACCCCCTACCAGGGATGTGCCCGTAACCAACGTACATGCCCCTGACCAGAATCGAACCTGGGACCTTTCAGTCTGCAGACCGATGCTCTACCACTGAGCCAAACCGGTTTCGGTGAGAGATTGATTTTTTAAAAAGTTCTTTTAATCCTCACCTTTACAGATCTCAGAGAGAGAAAGAGAGAGAGAAATATCCATCAGTTGCCTCTCCTACTGGTACATACTGCAACCTAGGAATGTGCTTTGGTCGGTATTGAATCTGCAACCTTTTGGTTCACGGAATGACACTCCAACCAACTGAGCCACCTGCCAGGGCGAGAGATGGATTTTGCTAAAGCTCAGTGAGTATGTACTGATTATGTACAGAATATGGTCCCGGTGGTTGACGGTTTATAATCTGAGCAGGGAGGCTAAGCAAACACATGAGTAGCGAAGCTGGGATGCCACTGGGAACTGGTTGCTGGGACACTGTGCCAGCTCTAGGGTGCTGTAATGTACCCCTCGAATCACAAAAGGATGCCCCAAGAAGTCGAATTAAGGAGCCACATTTATTTCAAAGCCAGGACTCTGAGGGGCAAATGCTCTCCAAATCTCGTAGTGCCCGGCCCCCCTGGCTGAAACATCAGACTGACTTAGACAAATATCACAGAGGTATTGATGCCATCTCGAGGTTTGGAGTGAGGACCTTGGTTTGCAAAAAGCGGTTTGTTACAGAAGCTTAGATTGAACAGGTTAGTTATCTACAAAGATTAATTGTAGTTTCGGGTCTTGGGACCCCTGAGTCAATGGAAATACATTATCTGGAGCCACTGAGGCAGCTCAGAGTAATTGTGCTGTCCTGGTCTCCAGGTGCAGAGGCCTGTGTTTCAAAAGACCAGAAAGATCCAAATCAATGGGATATTCAAACCACAGTCAACGGAGTGTTCAATCGAATGGGATGACTTATATAAATTCAGAAAATTAAAACTTTCCTAGATATATATATATATATATATATATATATATATATTATAAATATATATATAATATATTATATATAATATATATTATATTATATATTATATATTATATATATATATTATTGATTTTTTACAGAGAGGAAGAGAAAGGGATAGAGAGTTAGAAACATCAATGAGAGAGAATCATTGATCAGCTGCCTCTTGCACAACCCCTACTAGGGATGTGCCCGCAACCAAGGTACATGCCCTTGACCGGAATCAAACCTGGGACCTTTCAATCCGCAGGCCAATGCTCTATCCACTAAGCCAAACTGGTTTTGGCGAAACTTTCCTAGTATTTTAGCAAGCAAATAATTACAGAAGCCACATCAGCAGGGTTAAAATGTTTAACAGCCATTTTTACCCAAGCAAGGTTGCTACCATGCTTCAAAAGTAACAGGTGATTGAATGTCAAATTGGAGGGCAAGCCCTAACTGGTCTAGTTCAGCGGATAGAGTGTCGGCCTGCAAACTGAATGGTCCCAGGTTCAATTCCAGTCAAGGGCATGTACTTCCATTGCGGGCACATCCCCATCAGGGGGTGTGCAGGAGGCAACTGATGGATGTTTCTCTCTCATTCAGTGTTTCTTTTTTTTTTCTTTTTTTAATTTATTTATTTTTTTCATTCAGTGTTTCTAATTCTGTATCCCTCTCCCTCTCTGTAAAAAAAATTAATAAAACATATATTTTTAAAAATTTGGAAGGCAAGACCTCTGTGGGCCCAGCGATAGCCCCCGAACATGGAGCTACAGAGTCTGGGGAAGAGTTAGGACTCGGCTTCCTGCCTTTTTCCACCACAAAGTTTGCTCTTGGGCTCTTTCTCATTTTGTTGGGAGTGACTGTGGACCTAGGCTCTGGCATGTTTCTAACGTCTTTGTTTCCCCCGCTCTTTGCACTGAGTCTTGGCGAGGCCTGGGACGCCGAGTTCAACCTACCTTCCCCCCCAATGTGGAGGGGACTGTTTCGTGGTCTTTTAGTCTTCAGTGTCACGATGCGACTTCTGGCCCTCTCAAAGCTCGCTTCTTTGTAGGTAACCTGCTTTTTAAAGTTATTATTTTGTTTTTCAATTACATTTTACATTCAGCACTATTTTGTATTAGTTTCAGGTGTACAGCGCGTGGATAGACATTTATATAGGTTTGTAGGTAACCCGATTTTTTTTTTTTTTTAATCCTCACCCAAGGGTATTTTTTCCTTTTTTTTTTAGAAAGAGTGGAGGGAACAAAGAATGGGGAAGGAGAGAGAGAGAGAGAGAGAGAGAGAGAGAGAGAGAGAGAGAGAGAGGGAGAGAGAGAGAGAGAGAGAACATTAATATGAGAGAGATACATTGACTGGTTGCCTCTCCCATGCACTCCAACCAGGGCCAGGATCAAGCCTGCCCTTGACTTAGGTACATGCCCTTGACTGGGATCCAATCTGAGACTCTCTGGTCCCAGAGGCAGTGCTCTAACCCCTGAGTCACACCAGCTGGGCAGTAACCCACTTCTTTGTTTTTAATCCTCACCCAAGGATATTTTTTTCCACTGATTTTTTAGAGAGAATAGAAGGGAGAAGGACAGAGAGAAACACGGATATGAGAGAGACATATCCATTAGTGGCCTGTCACATTCCCAACCAGGGCTGGGAGCCTGCAACCGAGGTTCATGCCCTTGACCGGAATCGAACTGGGACCCTTCAGTCCACAGACTCTATCCACTGAGCAAAACCGGGTAGGGCACCACTTTTTATCTTTAAAAGCTTCTCAGGCTTTCTCTTACTCTTGGTGTTCGCAAATTTTATCAGGATGAGTTGCTCTTCATTCATATCTGATTCAACCTGAAGATTTGCAGTGGCTTTCTTTTCAACCAGGATAAATTTTCTTCTACTATTTCTTGGGTTATGCCTTCCTTTGAATTACTTCTGTTCTTTTAGACAGCTACTGGGGCCCTCTGGATCTACCACCTATGCCACTTAACTTTTCTTTCGTATTTGTCACATTCTTCCAATTCTTCCCCCCCCCCCATTTTTTTTTATTAAGGTATTATATGTGTACATATCTTACCATTGCCCCCCCCAACCCACTCCCATACATGCCCTCACCCCCCAGCATCCATTTGTTATGCTTATATGCATGCATACAAGTCCTTCGGTTGATCTCTTATCTCCCCCACTACTCCTTAACCTTCCCACTGTAATTTGACAGTTCGTTTGATACTTTACTGTCTCTGTATCTATCTTTTTGTTCATCGGTTTATAATGTCCTTTATTATCCATAAATAAGTGAGATCATGTGGTATTTTTCTTTCATTGACTGGCTTATTTCACTTAGCATGACGCTCTCCAATTCCATCCAGGTTGCTGCAAATGGTAAGAATTCCTTCTTTTTTATGGCAGCATAGTATTCTATTGTGTAGATGTACCATAGTTTTGTGATCCAATCATCTGCTGACGGGCACCTAGGCTCTTTCCAAATCTTAGCTATTGTAAATTGTGATGCTATGAACACAGAGGTGCATATATCCTTTCTGATTGGTGTTTTCAGTTTCTTAGGATATATTTCTAGGAGTGGGATTACTGGGTCAGATGGGACATTCTCTCAATTATTTATCCATCTATGTTCATGGTGTTATCCAGTCTAGCTACCTATTTTCTTTCTCATAACGGCCTGTTTCTCGGGCTTAGTTTGGGTTCTTTACTAAGCAAACCCTTAGCAAACTATCTGAGTTCAAGTGACTGATCGGAGAGATGAAGCCAGGGGCTCCCTGCAGAGGAGTTGGGAAGGAGATGGGGAAGGGAAGGCAGCCTGTGAGGGGTGCATTATCAAGCCAGTTACCACCATCAATCATGCTGCAAACCCAGGAAGCCTGTCAAACAGGTCTCCAAGCTGTGCCACCCGAGGCGGGAGGGGCTGGGCATTTCTGCCAATGCCCATTGGTCCCTGGTTGAGGGATGCTTCCCGTATAATTCCTCAGCACGTCCAGCAGGCCACACGGTTGGCAAAGAGGACTCTGGGAGTCAGAAGGTGAAACAGAAACAAAAACAAGCCTGGCTGGCATGGCTCCGTGGTTGAGCATCGACCTATGAACGAGTTCCATTCTCGGTCAGTGCACATGCCCAGGTGGAGGGTTCAATCCCAAGTGTGGGGCGTGCAAGGAGACAACCATCGTTGACTCTCTCTCATCATTGAGGTTTCTATCTCTCTCTCCCTCTCTCTTCCCATCTGAACTCAATTTTTAAAATATTTTAAAAAATTTTAAAAAAAAGAATAAAAAATATCAGGCAAGAAGATGCAGGCTGTGGCAGTCAGGAGCCGTTCACTATGAACCAAAGTGAGGAACATGAGCAGGCGCCTGCTGAGTCCTGCGCCATGGCTGTTTCACTCTTCTCATAGTGCTCCAAGGACACTGGACAATTTTATTAAATTCCTTCCATCTCCTTAAGTGCCGGCCCATCTTCTGTAGAACTTGGTGCTTCTCTTTTTTATTTTTTAAAAATATATCTTATTGATTGTTTACAGAGAGGAAGGGAGAGGGATAGAGAGTTAGAAACATCGATGAGAGAGAGAGAGAAACACCAATCAGCTGCCTCCTGCACACCCCCAACTGGGGATATGCCCTTGGTATATGCCCTTGACCAACCAAGGTACATGCCCTTGACTGGAATCGAACCTGGGACGCTTCAGTCTGCAGGCCGTCACTCTATCCACTGAGCCAAACTAGTTAGGACTCGTTGCTTCTCTTTAACGCTTTGGCTTTTATTGATTTGAGGGGAATGTATCTCCTGACGGGAGTCAATGACGGGGGAGGAGAAAGTTGGGAGCCTGCTCTGGAAGTTGTCTTGTGGGAGCACAGAGCCTCGGGTTCCTCCTAGCTGCCAGGGGCTCTGTCCTGTCTCTTGCTTTTCCCACCCAAGTCCTCGGCACATCACTCTGGTGTGGGGCTACGTGCCTGTGCTGCCTGCTTCTGGCAAAGTGGGCATCGGAGGGGGCAAACAGCTGGTGATTCTAGATGCCAGCCAACCTAGCACCCGATGATCTCCTTGGAAGAGGCCCTCTTTGTCAGGGTTCTGGTTTGTTTATTGGGAGAAAGATGCCAGTAGGTCCCTGGCGCCTAACACCGGGCCTGGGGAGGGAAACGGTGAATATTTACAGAATGACTGTCAGCCCAGTGCCCACAGGTCAGAGTCTCCCGGGGCGCAGTCCAGGGCTGTGACAGGGGAGAGCATGGATGAGGGGGCCCCCGCTACCTGGAGTCTGGGCGGAGGGGTCAGGAGAGGCTTCTAGAACGTGATAAAACCTGCCAGGAGTGGAATGCAAGCAGAGGTTCTCTTGAGCGAAGGCAGGGAGGCCCGAGGAAGCTGGTGAACTGTATGCAGCGGGGCTGGCAGGAGCCAGAGGGCCAGGGGCAGGTGGGGAAGGGCCATCCTGTGTGGCAGGTGGGAGCAGCAGAGGAACAGAGCATAGGCTCATGGGAGTGGGAGCAGAGCAGGATGTATAACAGCTGAACCCCAGTGTAGGGGGCGTGGGGTTATTTCTTCATGTGCTCCCCGTTCCCAGAACAATCCTTAGAGAAGACTACACACACTTCCTTCTCCAGTACCAACAAGGACAGGTAAGTGATCAGTGTGGTGGCAGCTGCCACCTTGTGGTGATGTTTGTAAAGACACCCTCAGGGAAACCCACCCAGGCCTACTTTCATCACCAGTTTTGCTCCTGCCCTGGTGATGGTGATGACATAGCAGTTACTGAGCTCCTACAACGTGTAGGATACAGTGGTGGGCAAACTCATTAGTCAACAGAGCCAAATATCAACAGTACAACGACTGGAATTTCTTTTAAGAACCACATTTTTTAAACTTAAACTATATAGGTAGGTACGTTGTTATTAACTTAATTAGGGTACTCCTAAGCTGGCAGAAGAGCCACATTCAAGGGGCCAAAGAGCTGCATGTGGCTTGCAAGCTGCAGTTTGCCGACCATTGGCTTAGATGATCATGTGTCTATGGAGAGGATACACATCACGTCCAGGGAGCATCCCAGTGCCCTTGCCCTCTTTCCCCCCTCTTACCCAGTGGCCATTCACAACCAAAGGAGAGCCCACGAGCAATCGTCATAGCTCCATGCAGGGAGCATTTGGCAGGCGTGGCCCTAGGTGCTTTCTGGCAAGCTCCTCCTCCCTCTGATGTCTTGAGAAAAGCACTGAGGGTCTGACCCAGGGTCACCACGGCAGGACAGGGACATTCCTACGGCCGAAAAGATGGCCACCGACAGAGAGGAAGGAGTTGGAGGCCAGGGCCTGCGTGTGGATGTGAGCTGTGGAGTGAGAAGGGGTTTCTGACTGTGTCGCACCCTGGAGTGCTCAGAGAGGTATGCTTGGGGGCGTTCTGCCTCCATGGCCTCTGGCAGGTGGGTATATGGGTGCTCACTGTGACACGGACTCAATGTTGATTTGTTTGAAAATTTTCATAACAAGATGTTGGAAAATTATTAATGGGGGAGGTGGAATGAGAATAAGAGCAGGATGGAACAAAAATGAGAGAGAGAGAGAGAGAGAGAGAGAGAGAGAGAGAGAGAGAGAGAGGAAGAGA